TCCGTGGATGTCGAGACCTTTGAAAGGTCCCTTGTGATTGTTCTTCCGGGAATGATAGAGGAAATGGCGCCCCCGGATGAGTTGATGGACATCCAGGATGAGGAAGAGAACGAGGACGAGATCGATGCTGCCGCTTCTGGTCCTTTTAGCCCTGCTGACAGAAGAAGGTCAAGGGCTCCCAGCCCTCCGTCTCTTCCTCCGTCACTCCCCGTATCACGGTTCGCAACGCCACAACGTGACGAGGAGACAGACAGCGCTAGATAGTTCGTATGGATGTGACCACAAGAAGCGGCTCCATGCAGCCTTGAACGTCACGACCACATCTGATCAAGCCTAGAGGTCTCGTATTTTTATCGTTCATCTCGACAGCATCCAGAGGAAAATGCGTACGATCAAGAGATCATTCCACACGTCGATTACGGTAACGAACCGCAAAGTTGGCCTGCTCGTCCTCCTGGCTTCTTGTGTCTGTCTTGGTCCGGTTCCGGTAACGCGTCCGTGGACTTCGAAATCGAAAATCGTCAGCTGAGTGTCTACTCCCTGCTAGATAATGCCCCCCCCCCCAACGCTATCCGCCGTTTATCCGAGTCTTCCGAAGTGTATGACAGCAACTCGACAGTGTCCTCCGACGCAATGGCGAGTTGAACGACTGCCGGGCGTCTGCACAACAACGTCGCTGATCACTTTCGGCACGTTTGTCTCTACTTTCCGCTGTCGCGACTGTACCCCCAAATCCTTCCTCGACTTTCCGCCAGCAGTTCTTGTCCTCAACCTGCTCTGTACTCGTACTTGTTTCTGTATTTGTATCTCTTGTTTCCTCTTTCGTTTCCTCTCTGTTTCGCACTTCCTGTAAGGCTAAAAGCCCCGTTCTCCATGTAATAATATAAAAGCGATGCCCAATTCGGCGTCGGCTTTTGGCTTGCTGATCTTTCGAGATCAGTCAAGCCTCCTCATAATCCGGTTGGTTGAAGTGCCCTTCAGAAACGAAGATCAAGAAGATTATGCACGAGACAACAGCAGAGAGTCTCAGCCATCGCAGAAATTCTCCAAGTGAGAAGATCCGTACACTTCCGCGGAAGGTCAGGAGATTGGTCAAAAACACCTGGTGTGCACATCTTCTATTCATATGCAATAAACACACTACCGGGATAGGGAATGAAACGTCACTCACAGATGGACTCGCTCTGTTACAATGCCGCAAGGGAACTCTTCACTACCGAGGCAGGCTACAGGCACAATGAATGCGAAATTATTGGAAACTCATAAGCATTCGGACTGATAAAATGAATTCAGTACGATAATATGCTAATCCTGTTGCTGACGTCGCTCACCGACACGGCGATGTCGCGAAATCACTGAAGCCTACCACACGGTGACTCATGGAACCGAGTTTAAGATCCGACGGGATGGAAGGTCCTGCACAACAGCTCAGCAAGTTACCAGGTTTGCAGAATTCCGATCCATGCAGAACTTTCGTCAAGTACGCAATCGGCTAGCGCTGGTGTTGGGCCAGTCAGAGACAAGAACGAGGTGGAGTCCACCTTGAATAGTGGTACAGAGGATTACTTGGAAAGCTCTAGCACGCTCATCCTAAATCCTTATTAATGTGATGAACTAGGATGCGAAAAGAAAGTGGACTTACGAATGAATGGATTTGAACGTTCATTGTTTCAGTGGGCTTCACTGAGAGGCCAAAGGATGCAAAAGATGGATGTTGACGAGAAACGTCGCAAAAACACCACCCCCAGAGCGTTTTTAACAGTACACTGGTAGCGATATCGATCTATGAACTTCCGCGCGAGGCTTTTAATTTTTTTTCGCAGCGGATGCAGCCGAAATCGATCGAAGACTGGTTAGTCAACGTAAGCAAGTTACTTCGGAACGGTGAGAAGTGAGGGGAAAAACGTACCGTTCGCGTTTATTACTCTTGAGCTTGTTTTTTCATTTGTCAGTCTCGACTCGTGGTTCATCAGGGGCCAACGTTAATCCTCAAAAAACTAGAATGAAAGGGGCGGGTTAAAGTTAAAGTTTGACGTGGTAACAGCAGCTAAGTCAAAATGCGTCAGGTGTTTCCCACACATACTGTCGCGGCGCCTTGCGGGCCAGACCCACATGTGGGCCGTTTTGCTATTCCTCCCTCAAAGTTTACTCAAACTTCATAAAACTTTGTAGATATGTAGCTAAACACTTAATAATTATATATCTGAAACTTTGAGACAAAATAATGAGCAGTAAAAAAGTTATTATACTTACAATCTGAAGACTATGAAAAATTACACTTTTAGAGTGAACCAAACTCTTTCCCACACAATGAATATGCTATATTAATTCAAGTAGTTATTATTTCAAGCCGTAATTTTGTGAGCCTGTGAATTAGTATGTTTTTTTATTACTTTTAGATTTTTTAGAAGTTTCTGTACAGTTTTAAGTAATTTATAAGACAAATTGCTAATAGTATGATTTTAACAGATTAGAATATACAAATTCACTAATCTCTGTCTTTATAATTTCTTATACCCAATTCTACTATTAAGACTAGTAAAATAAAGCTGACATTTATAATTATATACATCAGAAGTATATATGTACCAAAAAATGTAACTTAAACTTGATTACTTTAATTTATATCAAGTTATTATTTTTATAGCTACAAAAATCATAGTTACAATAAGTATTAGTAGTAAAACTACTGTTATTATTATGAAAACATGTGTCCATCCCTTATGATAGACATAATGAAGTATCAAAAAGTAGATTAGTTATGATAACAGAAAGAGAAGGAATGTGAGCTTGAAGTAAAGGAGAAAGAGCTTGATTAGTATTAATGTAAAATAGTAGAATACTTATAACTAAATAAAGAGAGAGATTATTACACAAACTCAACAACTTAAACCTCAGGAAAGGAAGAAATATACTATATATGAGTACTAGCATACTAGAAACATAGAGATAGTGTGAGAGTAGAGAGAGTAAGAGGGTAATAGTAGAATATAAGTAAATAGTTCTAAGTTATTATAATAAGCCTGTTCCTGTAGATAAAAACACAAGTTTTATTAGTATATAAACTTAATATAACTAATAGAGTAGGATTACCTTTGTTTCCTATCCAACTAAGTCTAGATTGAAATGAAGCTGAGTTTGTGTACTGAGAACATGTACTTAGATACAGTGGGCAAATTTCTTTCCCACAGGTGGCCCACATGTGGATCTGACACATCAAATCACAACTTTTGAATTGTCATTTTATTAAATTAATTATATATATTTTATTTTATAAAACAGTTGTAGTAGATAATAATATGAGAAATGGCTTTAAATGGCCTATATAGGGTGCTGTGACAGTACATTTCAATTTCTGGTCCACAAGTCCGACTTTATCACATCTCCTTCTCCCTCTGTTCTCTCAGAAACCCCTGCTTATCTTTATTAATTTTATTAACTGGAAATGGTATACTTCCTGCAAAGCTTCTTTTACTTATGAGTGACAATGCTGAAATAAAATTGAACAGACAGTGTGTGGTGACTGTAGTGGTACAATCATAGAATACAATGCAGCAGTAGGCAACGGTTTCTGTGTTGGTTGCAGGACGGTCGTTAAGGATAGGGCAGAGTGCACATGAGTAACAGTTGGAGTTCGTGAAGTTGAAGCTAAACTAAGTTATGTTTATGTGTTGTCTTTGTTGTTATTGTTGTTGTGATTAGCACATACAAGGATGGGAGGTCCATATGTGAAGAGAAACACTTCTGAGTCTCGAGAGCAGACGATTGATAATGGTAATAGTATATTTTTATTTTAGATTCGATTTGACAACACGGACAAACAATTTTGTTCTTCTAGGCAAGTAGGAAGGGGGTCCGGAACGTTGGAGCTCTAATGCGTCTCTCGGAGGTCATTCAGACAGCCGCAATTCGCATGTATACTCTGGCTCTTGAACATAAAGTCACGGAAGGAAGGAAGAATATGAACGTTTTTGCTGTCTGTCTTTATATCGCGTGCCGACAGAAGGAGACTCGAAATTATATGCTTATTGATTTCTCTGACTTGTTGCAAGTACGTCTCGTCCTCCTCATACATCTCATACCATATTCAACGTAATGATTATAATTAGAGGTGAATGTATTCGAGCTCGGACATATATTCCTACAACTCGTCCAAACACTCAACCTCCATCTCCCTCTAGTCGACCCATCACACTACATCTCCCGCTTTGCTGCACTCCTCGAATTCGGTGACGAAACACCCAAAATAGCAGTCGACACAGTCCGCCTCGTTGCGGGTTTCGACCGGGACTGGATATCCCGTGGCAGGAATCTGCAATATGGCTCTCTTAAAAGTAGTCTCCTATAACTGAATGCATACAGCTTTAGAGCTTTGTCGGTTGCCTCAAAGTATATAATACATTTCCAGGAACAAGATGTATTTCAGACAAATTTGAATCAGTCCTTACATTTTCAATAATATTTTCTTTATTATATGTAACTACATAATTATACTTACAAATATGTTTATATGTTTATTAGGTTACAATTCAAGCTTTACACTGTAAGAGGTATTATTAGTATACAATATGGATAGATAATTGGGATCTCAGGTCAGGAAAACTATGACTATCTAACAAGACTATAGAATAAACAAGTAGCTTAATATGTTAATACATAATCAACAAACAAGACTTGTTAAACACTACTTGTTCCTTCTTTGTTCAATCCTACAGTTGCTAAAGTGTCTAAAACTAATTAGTGTAGCTTAGGACAGAAAGACAAAAGCAAGCTTACCTTTGACAAATTTGACATTACTAACAGTCCTCAATTAGTAATTGGTCCCTTTGTTTACCCCTCTCTCACCTGCTTCTTTCAGATTGATTAGAAGGTGGCTTCTAAGAACACAGAGAAGGGTTGGACTTCTGGCTACACTCAGAATGTTTACAACAGATTGATTAACACTAATAATTCAAATATATACTATCTTTACAATACAACAAATATAACACTATAACAACTTGAGTCAGATATTATTATACACAAGTAGTTTACTTACATACTGTAATATAAAAACTTATCTTTAATAAGGACTCTGACAAGATAGAAACCTTTGAAACCAAACAATATTCTCTAGTATTCTGCTGCCTTAAAGAGACCTAGACAAAGTAAAATCATTCTGTATATTATAGGAGTAGTTCTGTAATATATTAGATAAAGGATAACTATGTAAATATATTTTTTACTAAGAGATGATTGACAAAAAATGTAAAGGGCTGTTACTTAAACATAGTTTGACACTCTGTATAAGACAACTAGTAGTTACTAAAGTATACTAAATGTTAATTTATTTTATAACTTAAACAATAACTCAGTTAATAATCTTACTATCTTTTAACAGATTACTATAAATAAGAATACTAATACTAATACTTGCTTCTATAGTAAGAAGTACTTTGAGGCAGATCAAAAGTCCTCTGTCTAATAAAATTCAGATTAAGAAACTATTTTTATAAAGTAATGAACCTACTTTACTAGTAAAGTACTAACATATATATTTGTAGAATATCTGTCAAGCAATTAAGTAAATATAATACATTATGTGAGTATTAGAAGTAATACTTACAGTTTATTAGAACAATTGTAATCCAAACTGACAATAGATTTAATTAGAACTGTAATATATAATAGTAAACATCTTACTATATAATTCCTGTATTTAATACATTATCTGGTTTAATATTAACATAAATAAGAAGAATAGATATTTAGAATGGAAAACACACAACTGTATATAATATGGATTTTGATTCAAAGTTAGTATATACTTATTAGGAGAATGTTTCTTTAGATTGTTAGTATATTTAAACTGTAAATATAACTTATAACTCTTGTACTAACTATATTATTAAGCTACTAAAGACAGGATTTATATAATAAAACAAGAAGGAAACAAGAAGAGTCAAAAGCTAAGGAACTATAGTAAGAGAAGGAGTGTATTTATAATAGAGAGAGTATTAGAAGGCTTAGAGACAAAAGAAAGAGAATAATAGAGAGTATAAAATAATAAGTAAATATAAAAAGACAAAGAACATAAAGAGAATGAGTAATACTGAGTCAATACTTTGTACAGGCTTAAAGAGTATAATACTAGCTAGTTACAACTAAAGAGGTAGTCCTTATCTAATTACAGCCCTTTTTATAAGTGTTGTTACATATACAAATTGTGATTTTTATTATACTAAGTACACTCAAATACAAAATCTACTGTAATTCAACTAATACCTAACCAAATTACATGATCTAAGTTGTAAAAATTATATTTTTAAATTATATTTCAAATCCTAGAAAAAATAAAGTAAATTGAGCAACATTTGAGTAAGATACAATATAATATGTGAGTTTTCCCTATATTCCTTATGTATGAATTTTTCTAGACTCAAAACTGAGTGTATAATACTCTAAGTTGGTCCAAATGAATAATATTACATGGTTATTAATTTGCATGTTGAAATATACTCATAATATTGAGTATACATATTATTTTACTATATATTTAAGTTTGCTAAAATTGAGCATTTTCTTATAGTCTCTCTACACTTAATAAAGGTTCTTTTAGTACTATTGTAAGTCTACTATACAGCTTACCACAGTTCTAAGGGTTCTGAGAGTTCTGTTCTAGAATTCTCTTGTGTAACCTTAGACTATACATACAGTTCCTAATCCTGAGCCACATATATAGTTTCCTTTTTCACTTGTATTACACATTCCTTTAGTCTGAGCCACTTTTCTTTCTTCTCTAGTATATAAAGCTTATGTCTACATCTTTGTTGTGCCAGTTCTTGTTTACTGACTGTAACAAAGGTGTGTCTTATTATGTACTACAAGTTCTTGTTTACTAACTATAACAAAGATACCTTTGTCCTGTCAGTCTTTGTATGTTCTACAATCTTTGAGCTCAGTGTTCAGCACTCTACCAGTACTGTTCTACTTTTTTTTGACATTAACAAAGTAGTCTTTGTCATAGTACATGTTAGTAAGGTTCTACCAGCTTTCCTAAACACCTTCCTACTGTTAGTAAGGTTCTGACCTTCCTGAACATAGTCTCAACATTAGTAAGACTGTCCTGCCTTCCTGAACAATTGTTAAGTTTTTACAACCCTACTATAACTATTACCTACAGCTCTGAAACAAGTTCTGTTTGTGTTCTAAACTGGAACAGTACTAGTAAAGTGCTGAACACTGAGCTCAAAGATTGTAGAACACACAAAGACTGACAGGACAAAGGTATCTTTGTTGTAGTCAGTAAACAAGAACTGGTCAGATTACTTTAGAACAGACAAGACATACTTGACACTCTGAGATTTGTATTACTAGCTAAATATGTGTTAGAATCTGGAGCAGAACTATATTTTAGATTGTAATGTGTATTAATAGAATAAGAGTACAACATTTAAACTAACTAGACTCCTTTCTCTGTTACTAGTTCTAAAGAGCTGTTTTGAGAGTATAGTAATAGACTTTATTAGACCCCTACTTAAAGATAATAAGTTTAATAGAATAGTTATAACAACAGATTGTCTTAAAAGTACTAACATTTGAATTAAACTCTGTCAGATAGAAATAATAGTAGAAGACTTTATAGAGCTATTCTTTAACAAGTAGTATTGTAAGAACAGACTACTCTTAGAAATTGTATCAGATTAGGACTACTTATTCCTATCCTACTTTTAAACTGTCTTGTATAAATAAATGAGTATAAAGTTAAAAATGTTTATAGTATTCTACTCTAAAACTGCTAGTAAACATACAAATAAGACAGTAAACTAGCTTCTTAAGTTTTATATAGACTGACAGTAACAGAGATAGAAGTTCAGACTTTTATAAGTCTGTTTTTATATTATAAACTTAGTAAATATGTTTACTAGATACTCTCTGTTCTAACTCTAATATGAATCTACCCTCTATATAGTTCTACTACTTGTTCTATCCTTAAAACTACTAGAACTAAATACTCTAGGGACAGAGGTAGAGGATTTTATAGTCTGGATCTACTAACAGGTAGTAGATACTTAAGACTAACTGTTAGTAGTAAAAATATAGTAGACTTATTATACAAACTAGTACTAGGTAGAAGAGGATTAGTTCTAAGTAGAGAACTAAGTAATGTTATTAACTTAGAACTACTGGTAGAACTACTAAGCAAATACTCTAGGTCAAGCTACTAAGTTTATACTCAAGTATAATAGACTATACTTTATTATTATAGTAAACTTAGATAGATTTAAGTATACTTTAGAACTCTTAGATTCAAATCAGACCTTTCTAGAGTTTTATTTAAGCTATTTCAAGTGTTATGTTTTAAACAATAACCTCCTGTTTCTAGACTAAGCCCTTGTGTGTTCTAAACCTGTTAATAATATAAACAAAATCTACAAAGTCTCTTACATTATTAACTAGTACTATTAAAGTAGAGGTTAGTAATACTTTATTAAATAAGAAGGATAGAGTAAACAGGGAAGAGAGTAGAAATCTGAGCCTGAGCTTCAGAACTCTACTCTAAACATTTTGTGTGTATAGTTAGACCTTTACTTACACAGATAGTAGTAGTAGTTTAGAGGAGGGAAGAGTGTAAGCCTACTATACAGCTTACTATAGTTTTGAGAGTTCTGAGTGTTCTGTTCTAGAACTCTCTTGTACAGCCTTGAGTCATGTATACAGTTCCTAGTTCTGAACCATTGGGAAAAAGTCTAAATTCTTGTACTACCTTATAATAGTATAAAATAAGTGAAAAAAGTAAAAAAAGTAAAAACACTTGGAACAGATCTCAGTTTCTGAGAAAGTACTACAATTCATTATAAAGTCTGAAAGGTTTGTATAATTTGTAAACATAAATAAGAGTTATTCTCCTTAACAATATATAAAATGTATTATAATGGATCTCTAAAATTATAAGGTTAAATCACTCTTGTTAATTATGACAAATATTATAATTGTTTATAAAGCTCTTAAATCATTTTAATATCTTAATAATAGTTATTTTCCCTTATATCTGTTTGTTATTAAAATAAC